CTGAACTGGCTTCATCACTCTGTTCTCCTCCCCACTGATAGATGGTGTGTGGGTACTGGTGCACTATGGCTGCCGCCATATCATCCAGGTGGGGCTGCACACTGGTGGTGGTGGAGGGGTCCCCATTACCTGGAAAGCGCTTTGAGTGGAGTGTCCAGAAAAGTGCTAAATAGGTGTAAGCAATTATTATTATCATAGAACGTCTGTCAGAAAGATACACGCATTGATTCAAACATGAGTGCAAAGGTCCTTCAAAATCTGCCAGAAAATGAGCCAGAGTGCAGGGGAGCTTATTCCCAAGCAGAGCATCCTGTCTAGAGCAGAGGTCAGTACACACATAGTAGAGTCGAGGAGTTTTCTGCCATATGCGCATGTACATTGGAATTCTTATTGGAGCTGATCTCTCGGGACATACACAGTACAGCAGACAACCACACACAATGCAGAGAGTGCATTACAAACATAATAAATAAATCAGCCAGAACAATAAACGTGTTGTGGAGAACAATAAATATGTGGTAGTGGGGAAAAAAACATGACAGACCATGCAAGTGCCTAGTGCAGACATGCATTGCAGTTCGCTGTTAAGGATGCGTTCTGCAGCTGGGTAGAAACGTGCCGATCTTCCTCTCTGCTCCCAGGCGTCTGTGAGAGGGTGGCGGCTCACATGGGGACGTGATGGTTTGAATGAGGCGCAGGCAGGTGAGATGCCGGACAGCTGAGCCGTGTCCTGACATGACTTTCCCTGCCTGCTGCTGGGACCTTAATGGGGGCCACTTGGTGGGTGTTCAGCGGGGTACCAACATGACCGAACAAGAAAAGGAAGCCTCAGCACGGCAGATCTGGTTACCCTGAAACTTGTGGGCACAGTGCCAGTCGTTGGCGGCCCTTGGCGTGAGAGAGCCCGTTAGCAGCTGGGGGGTAAACTTAGAGTCCAGCTGTCTCGGCCTCTCCCACCATTCGCCTCTGGAATCTCCCTTAATTACACACGCCCAAACGAGCAGCCGCAGCCCAGGGCAGGGTCTCCCCCTCTGTCTTCAGGAGCAAGTGTTTCCACTGGTTTTTTGCTCCATTTGTTCTTTATGAAACTTGCAATTTTTCCTTTGGTGGAAAGAGTCCACTAAGAAGCCTGGCATTTTACTCCGCTCGTGAGTAGTTCTGGTGAGACGCATGTCTTTGTCTTCCTAGGATCAGTGAGGGTCCCGAAGTCATGATCTGCTCTGTGTCCTCGCTTTGTGCTTGGTGCCGAAACATTTTTGAAATAACAAGCAGGCTCTAGCTTGCTTATTGACTTTCAGAGCCTCCAATCTCTTCCTGTGCCGTTTGAGCAAAGACTGAAGAGACTGAGTTCCTCCGGCCTGTCCCGTTCAGACTGCTCTGCCGCGTGTCCTTACGCCTGGTTTCCGTACAGGTGTGAGAAAAAGGGTTGTGAAGCCTTTGGAAATGACTGTATTGCTGCATAACCTGAAGCAAACCGTTCATTCAAGACCTGCCCAAACTACATGATTCCAAAGGCATCTCAAACGTTTTGTCACCACTGTATGACTCTCTGGTCCTAGAGGTCGGCAAGCCAGGTGTGTGAGGTGCTGTTCTGTTTTCCCTCAGAGGACAGATCCTGTGTCTTGGCCTCTGCAGGGCTGACCAGCTGGGCCTGGAGTGCACCTCCTCAGGCTGTAGCCCCTGAACGATGTTTCTCGTTGTCTTCGTTGTGTGGATCCGCTCCTCCTGTTCAGCTTCTGCGTGGTCTTCTCAGACACGCTCCCTACCTGGCAGGGGAGCACAGGCAACGTTTCCTCCAGGCGGGAGGGAGATGTTCAGACAGGGACTGCTGTTTCTGGACCGACCCTCTCGGGGCGTCAGCTGTCGGGGGGGGTTGAAAACTGGGCTACGTCCCCCTGTACGGGGGGGGGGGGGGCTCTTACTGAGCAGGGCATTCCTTTCAGCTGGTCCCCAATCTGTGAAGCAGCCCCACCCCCTCTCGCTGCAATGGCAGAGGTGCCCGCATCAGCTCTCTGACCACTCCTCCCACCACCCACCCAGCGCGACACGGCGTGGCCCCGTTTACCCAGCACACACTGCACTTGTGCCAACAGGAGGTCGCGGCCTGTCTGCAGAGCCTTTGTATGGTCCATAAAGGCTCCATTCTCCTGCCGCCAGCACAGCCGGCCATTGTGTCCGAGGAGAAGGTGGCGGGGGGGTTCGAGTGCACTCTGCAGGCACGTCCGCCAAGTAGCACTCCAGGAGTCTCCGATTGGCCTGTCCCTTCCACAGCGCCTGTTGGATCCAGGCCCTCGTACGGGATACATGGGATAAAGAGATCCGCGGAAGGGAGAGAGAATGCTGTGCACATCCAGCTGACAAGTGGAAAACTAAATCAATATGCAGCTCTGCTAGCCTGTATCCAGCACATCTATGGTCACAATGTTTGGCATCGCTGTAGCATTGTAAATTATGAAAAACACATGGCCATAACTTTGTGTTCCGAGCACATCATGCACACAGAACACTGTGCTCCTCCTTTTCTGAGCAGCGATGGCTCAGAGATACTGTCCCACGTACTGGAGAGTAAATCATATCAGGCTTGTGTATAATTTCTGCCTAAGTGCCTCTCTGTCTAATGACTCCTTACAGCAGACTGCTGACACACTCATGCTTTGGATCCTACTGTGTGCTTTTATCGTCTTGCCTTCAGATGAGTGTTTCATATCCCCGTTTTAAAACAAATGACTCAATTTTCAGGTCCCAGGGCTGAGCAAACCAGACTTTTTTTTGTCCAAGGAGAGAGGGGTGAGACACAAGTGGCAGAGGACTCCTCGGAGAGAGAGAGGGAAAGAGGGAAAGAGAGAGCGAGCGCAGAATACTTTCCAATCTGCTCTCATTCTTTCCACCTCAAGTCATGTGCAAAACCTCCCCCTTCTCCCTCGCCGGGAGGGGTGGGTGAGGGCCCGAGGTCGGCTCGTTCTCCGCCGGCGTGCGGAATCGGATCAGGGCCGGCGTGGACGCCTTCCAGAAAGTGGGAGCTCCCACCCCTGCCTCTGTTTCCAATGAGCTTAAAGAGGGGGAGACCCCGTTTTCCCTTAAACTTGACCCCCCCAGAACAGAGGGAAAGCAGGATGCTTCTATTCGTCTTTGCCCTTTGGGAACATGAATCTAGGATTACGTGGGTGAGAAGCAGTGGAAGAAACACCGTGTTTCAGCTGTGCTGTCTCCAGTTGCGTCTTTACACACTGTACACTGACAGAGTTTCAGATTTTTAATCTGGATTCCTCCCGATCAGGGTGTGAACACGCTTTCCTGACTGGGATCCCTGTCTCTTGGGTAAGCCGGGGTCCTGCTCGTGAGGGTTGAAGAGGCCGTGGTGGTGTGTTCAGAGACATGCCAGTCCGATTCTCTGGCTGAAGTCCAGTCCGGGCTTTCTCAGCCACCCTCCTGCTCCTCCTGTCGCGATGGGCTCAGCAATCCTCTCTTCACCTGCTGCGCTACTAGTGAAGGACTAGAGACTTGAAGGACGTTAGAACAGTTACACACCAGAGGAGGCCAAACAGAACATCGAGCCTGCTTGGTAATTAATCGACCCAAGAAGCTCATGCAGCTGTTCTTAAAAGAAACCCTCAGAAAGGTTTGAAGGCAATAACTTGAAAGTATTTTATCATCTTGAGCTGGCTGCGGGAACAGCTTCTTGTCTCCGACCCAGAATTGGAAAAACAAGCTTTTCCACAGCAATGCGGCAAACCAAAACTGGGCTACAGTTACATCTCTTCTGGGTCCGTATTTGAGCGACAGAACAGGTTACTGAATTTGACAGCCGTTTACTATGGAAAGCTTGGTCTGCGGTCCCCTGCGCTATCTGAGCAGGTGTGTGTCTGGCTCGCTGGCAGTGCCCTGACGGGTCTTCTGTCTGTGAAGCCCGGCCCTCCTCCACAGCTGCGCCCCCTGCTGGGCGTGACCAGGGGGGCATTTTGTATCCTCAGTGCGAGAGCTGCATGCTGCTGGAGAGTCTTCTGTAGAAACTGTGCAGGGATCTTCATAGGTGACGGGGACTGTGGGAGTGAAACACACGAAATGCAACCCCCCTACACACCTGACACACACACACACACACACACACACACACACACACACACACACACACACACTTGCATTCTGTTCTGGGGACCTGATGAGACTCATTCAGTGTTTTACTGCTCCAAACTCCACTCACACAATTCGTACAAGGTACAATAGAACCATAACATGTTTTTGCCAATTTTAGTTTGAAGAGAAGATGCTGATTTCCACTGTGGACGGTCCGTCTTTGCGTTGATGTTTTCTCAAAACTGGCGCCCGCAGTGGTGGGCTCAGCGCGTGCGCGCACACACACACACACACACACACACACACACACACACGTCCTGTCGCTCGGAGTCGCACCTCCCTGAGTGGGTGAGCTGTGAGCCCCCTGGGGGAGGTGGGGGGGTCGGGTTCACCACCGCCCGCGGCTCTGCCAGATCTCTCCAGGAGCTGTTCAGGGCCCTGGGGCTGCTGCCTGGCACGGCCAGTGCCCATCTGAGCAGGGCCATTGGCAGAGAGCTCGGACTGGCATATAAAATAAGGGGGGAAAAGAAACTGCAAATCTTGCAAACATACTTTTTTTCCAGTCTGTGAAAGGGAGGTCCCCACAGAGCCTTGTGCCAGCACTGCTGGACCAGTCTGGTGATGGGCAGAGCCTGGCACGTCCTGTACTTGACATAAGGCTGTCCCTTTGCTATTGTCTCAAGTAGGACTGAGGAGCAGTGTTACTCCTGGAGAGGCAGTGAAGTATTGTTACACAGTCAGAAAAGATGCTACCAGCCCACCAGCCCTCGAAATCCCATCAGCTCAGCTGGCTGCAGTCCTGTGTTTCAGGGTGTAGCAGTGTGGGTGGCAGTGTGTGGCACGCACTGGGGGGTTCCCACTGCGCAGACTGAAGAGGTCACGCTGCCGAGTGAAACGGGAAACCTCTCGTCTCTCTCTCTCTGCAGACACAGGCGCGCGCCGATGGATACTTTCTCCTGACCGTCCAGTGCCTTCCTCCCCTGCTCTGAGCCCCCCTCAGCGATGACCTCCGACCCCTCTCACCTGGGCCCCGGCAGGGCGGGGCTGGGCGTGGTGGAAGTGGACGCCTGTGACCTGGAATTAGACCGGAAATACGAGGTCATCCCCGCTGTCATCTGTGCCATGTGCTGCCTGTTCGGCATCATCTACTGCTTCTTCGGTAAGACGAGCGTCCCTGCCGGGTGTGGTCTGCCCCTGTGTGATTAAGCTCGAATCAGCCTGGAGCGCAAGTCGTAAGCAAATGTGCTCAGCACCAGTCTGCAGAAAGGGGAGATTATAGCCTGCTTATTATGCATTACCCATTTTCAGTAATGCAGCTAATTTGATTTGATCCCTGAGGTTAAAGAAAGTCATCATAGCCTCTTTCTTCATGATCAATGCAGTGGTTTCATGGAGCCTGCTGTATCGCCAGTGCTGGTGTCTATAATGTTAATGTGGGCAGGAGTCCAAGTCTAGGACTATTGCTGACAACTGCTGGCACAGGACTGCAGAGCTAACTTTATCAGACCCACTTAAAAAGTCTGCCTGCTTACTTTATAGTTGATCCCAAGCCGCAGCCCAAAAGCCTACTAACACTCTGGTTCATGGACCGGTTTGCTTGAGCAGAGTGGTCAATTAGGCCAGGGGCTGGAAGCAGGGTACCAGAGAGAAAAGGACCACTTTTTACTCCTGTAAAATCAACACACTCTTGCGCTGTGGAGCTGAGTTCTTCTCTTGGAGACCTGATGTCTCCAGCTGCTCTCGGGGGAAAGCAGACTTCACAAACCCACGCTCAGCAGGGTTGTTGATAACCCAGGCAGGAACTTCCCTAAGGGCAGGAGGAAAAAACATCTGTCGAATACGATCCTGCATTTGCGAGCGTGGGTCATTTTTCAACAGAACAGCAGTGAGCTTGTAAGAAAGCTTACGTATGCTGCTTTTCACCCAAAATTGCAAGGGGGGTATTCTGTTACTGGAGTAGAGTCTCTGCTGCCACCTTGTGAGCAACATCCCTTACTGCACCCCCTTAGCTTCTAGGCAAGATTGTGGAATATTTAAGTAATAATAATAATTATAATAATAATAATAATTCCTTACACTTATATAGCACTTTTCTGGACACTCCACTCAAAGCGCTTTACAGGTAATGGGGATCCCCTACACCACCACCAGTGTGCAGCCCCAACCTGGGTGATGCAATGGCAGCCATAGTGTGGCAGAACGCTCCCCACACACCAGCTCTCAGTGGAGAGGAGAACAGAGTGATGAAACCAGTTCATAGATGGGGATTATTAGGAGGCCATGATTGATAAAGGCCGATGGGAAATTTGGCCAGGACGCCGGGGTTACACCCCTACTCTTTTCGAGAAGAACCCTGGGATTTTTAATGACCACAGAGAATCAGGACCTCGGTTTTACGTCTCATCCGAAGGACAGCGCCTGTTTACAGTATAGTGTCCCCTTCACTATACTGGGGCATTAGGACCCACATGAGACGCAGGGTGAGCGCCCCCTGCTGGCCCCACTAACACCTCTTCCAGCAGCAACCTTAGTTTTTCCCAGGAGGTCTCTCATCCAGGTACTGACCAGGCTCACACCTGCTTAGCTTCAGTGGGGCTGCCTGTTGTGAGTTGCAGGGTGATATGGCTGCTAAGTAGAAGTGGGGAGCTGGGTCAGCCACAAAGGTTGCAAAAGAACAAGTGAAGGTTAATTCCATGCTGAAAGGAAAAGAAAAGGTGTGAAGGTTTCATAGATGGAACATTCTCTTTTCTTTTCCTTTTAGCATGGAATAGAACTTTACCTGAATATTTACATTTGTCTAGGCAAGATTTGTGTTAGAAAATGTATCTTCACATGCTCACCTATCTCCAGAATCTCACACGTGTTCCCTGTCCATCACTGAGTCCTGCTCTTGTTGGACCTCGGCTGCACCTCAGATCAGTAACCCCACCTCTGTTCTCGGTGTCCTCTCTGTTCAACACTGAAAAGGTTCAGTTCTTTCATTAGTAGGATATTCCTTGAAGTCCCAGAATGCACCTGGTTGCTCTTCTCTGGACTGATAGCACAGCCGCAATAACATTTGTTAGTTTACTGCTCAGTGAGAGAAATGTTCCATGGAATATTGCTTACTGATCTCTTGCAAGACACTGGTGTGACTTGATTGCACCAACCCTTGGGTCAGTCAGTTCATTGCTCAGGTCCCAGATGGACTGTGTATGTAGCAGTGTTCTAGATATATTATTGCTCAGGCCCCTGAGATACAGCTTGTGTGTCTGGCTGTGGGGGTCATTGTTCAGGCCCCTGAGAGAATGTGTGTATCTGTGTTTTGGTTCCTGATGGGTCGTTGCTCAGGCTCTGGAAAGACTGTGTGTGTATCTGTGTTTAGGTGCCTGATGGGTCATTGCTCAGACTCTGGACAGACTGTGTGTGTGTATCTGGGGGTGTGTGTGTGATGGGTCATTGCTCAGGCCCCTGGGTGGGGGTGTGTGTGTGTATCTGGGGGTGTGTGTGTGATGGGTCATTGCTCAGGCCCCTGGGTGGGGGTGTGTGTGTGTGTGTATTAAGGTGCCTGATGGGTCATTGCTCACGCTCTGGAGAGACTGTGTGTGTGTGTATCTGGGGGTGTGTGTGTGATGGGTCATTGCTCAGGACTTTGAGAGACTTTGTATGTGGCAGTAGGGGTGTGTCTGATGTGTTATTGGTCAGGCCCCTGAGAGACTGTGTGGCTGATGGGTCATTGCTCAGGCCCCTGAGAAACTGTGTGTGTGTATCTGTGGGGGGTGGCTGATGGGTCATTGCTCAGGCCCCTGAGAAACTGTGTGTGTGTATCTGTGGGGGGTGGCTGATGGGTCATTGCTCAGGCCCCTGAGAGACCGTGCCCGAAAGCCCACAGAGGTGTGTCTGATGCGTGAATCTCTCTCCAGGGTACCGCTGCTTCAAGGCTGTGATGTTCCTGTCAGGGCTGATGTTCGGCTCCGTCATCATCTTCCTTCTGTGCCACAAGGAGAGGGTGCTGGACACCCAGCTGAGCGTGGAGGCCAGCGCGGGCATTGGCCTGGGCATCGGGGTGCTGTGCGGCCTGGTCACCATGCTGGTGCGCAGTGTGGGCCTCTTCATGACCGGCCTGCTGCTGGGGCTGCTGGTTGCTCTTGCCGCCCTAGTGGCGGCCAACCAGTTCTACAACCCGGGCACGGTGTGGGTCCCCCTGGGCACGCTGCTAGGGGCGGGCATGCTGTTCGCCGTGCTGACCCTGCAGTGGCAGAAGCTGTTCACCATGCTGTCGACCGCGGTGTTCGGGGCGGCCATCATGACGGTGTGCGTGGATTACTTCATCGAGATGCTGGCGCTGGTGGTCTACGTCTACGACCACGTGCGCCTGGTGGCCTCACCCCCCCTCTGCTGGTACAGCTGGGTCATCATGGGCGTCTGGCCGGCGCTGAGCATGCTGGGAGTGCTGGTGCAGTGGAAGCTGACAGCCGAGGGATTCTCTCACACAGAAGGTGATGAGTTTTATTGTTGTTGTTGCCTGTGTTGCTGGTTTTGCTTTTTCCTTATTTTGTCCCCTTCTGCCTGTGCTCTCAAGCGAGTTGGGGAGACTGGAGGGCAGATCCCTCCCATCCAGGCTCATCTTCATTTCAGCTTCATGGGCTGATTTCATAGGCCCAGATCGCCACTGGTCCTGGACGTGTGAACCTAAATTAACTGCTCTGGACTGAACCAGTCCCTGGTGTGGTTGTAGTCCAGTCTAGGACTTGTCCAGGATTGGTTATAATCAGGGTTTGTGAAAGTACTGCAATGCACCCCTTTCAGCATAGGAGCAGTATTGCCGCTGTTACTGCTAAGAGCTGCAGGCGTTCATACTCATTAATCAGGATTTTGGCAGATTGAATTAATTTTCATCTGAAAAGAAAAGCAAGGACTCCTTTGCACCTGCCTGAATGTTGAGTCTCTTTGCTGTGCCCCGAACAAGCGCACAGCTCCTTAATTGAAATGGCAGTGGCCCCCCTGAGAGCAGCAGGTGGTGTAGAGCCGGGGCCCTGGGTGCAGTTCCAGACCTGGGGTGCTGTCTGTGTGGAGTTTGCATGTTCTCCCCGTGTCCTTGTGGGTTTACTGCCACAGTTCATTGTCTTCTGGGAAAACTGGCCCTGGTGTGGGCATTGTGTGCCCGTGTCACCCCTGCAATGGACTGGTGTCCTGCCCAGGGTGTACCCCGCCTTGTGCCCGTTGCTTGCTGGGATAGGCTCCGGCTCCCCTACGACCCTGTCCCGGGGCAAGCGGTCAGAAAATGGACGACTGGTCCCCTTGTTGGCGTCGGGGGTGGCTCCCAGGGTGAGCTGGCGAGCCGGGAGTGACCGCTGTGCCCTGTGCCCTCTGTGCCCTCAGTCATCATCAGCCGGCGGCAGAAGCGCGTCCAGCTGATGAAGATCCGGCAGCGAGAGGCCAAGAGGCGGCAGCAGAGCGGGACACAGGAGGGCACCTACCGCCGCAAGCCCACGCCCGTCAGACGATACGCCGGGGACGTGCTGGCGCCGGTGAGGCCCTCCGTGCGTGTGAGTCACCACCGTTACGCGGGCGGGCGGGCGGCGCGGGCAGGCGAGGAGCGCGGGGCATTCCCGCCAGCCCGGGGTGGAGATCCAGCTCCCGGATTAGAGGCCTCCACGGGCCGACCCGGACCCGGGCATCAGATTTGAAGAGCGCCACGCAGCTGGCGGGTCAGGTCGGGTTTGATTTCCTGTGGCACCCATGGAGACCCCTACTCTGGTCACGAGCAGGTGATCCCTGCAGGGCTACCGCGAGCCCTAGCGATCAGTGCAGAACCAGTATCTGTGACACTCGGATCAGCCACCTGCACTCCGGGTTGGAAAGGTTTTGCGGAAGTGACAGAGGAGATCGGGATGAAGAGTCTGATTCATTGAATTGAAGACTGTCTCTTGATGGGCACGAGTTGTTTTAGGGTGGTGCAGACTGAGCTGGATGAGTGCAGCCGGGAGAGAAGCGCGCACTCACCCTGCCCTCTCCCTCTCACAGAGCTATCTCCAGAGCCTGCGGGACCGCCAGATGGGCACGGGCACCTCCCTCAGCAGCCTGGGCACCATCAACCACACCCTGGTGGACTTCGACTACGACACCGGCTCCACGGTGCCCCTGACCGCTACCACCCCCGTCGTGCAGGTGTGAGAAGGACCGGCGCTGCCCCCCGGACGAACACATGCCCCCCCCAGCCAGCCTTCCCTGCCTGACGCGTCTGCAGCCCCTGGGCTGGGAGCCACGTGTGAGAGGCCTGAGCGGCTTTGCACACTGGTTCTGCTGGAGAGCTGGTCTGCCCCTTGCTGCCCCAGCCGGGGCAGGGGAGGGTAGTGTAGCGAGCTGCTGGACTCGAGTGGGTACCTCCTCCGTGAGCAGATACACCTTGCTGTGTCCAGCGCTTTATGAACGTCAACGTATTTAAAAGGCGCTATATTGAATAAAGCCATATTGAGACCTCCTCGGAATGAGCTGCCCCTTGCCTCTGCTGTTTCCCTCCCGGCTGAGGGTGAGCCTGGGTACGAGTTGTGCAACGCCGAGCGCCTTCTGTCCACTGGGTCCGGCTCTGGACTGGACCTGCTCCCGGTTCAGAACGAGCCCTGCAGCCGCAGCTCCAGTACAGACTGTCTACCTTGAGAGCAGCGAGAAACAAGGTGCCTTCAGTCTGGTTTCACTCAGCCCATAAAGAGGTCGGGTGCGACTACTTAACCTAAGAAACGGACCCAGGATTTTGAGGGCTGGTTCCATGATCTAAAAACTCGCAGCTCTTTCAGTTCAAACGTTACTGCAGGGCTCCGTCTGTCAGAGAACACCTGTAACACTGCAGCCTTGTAGAGCCCAGTAAAAGCCACAGTCAGAGAGCTGAGGCTCTCCAGTCCTCCCAGGTGTGGGAGGTCTAATGAGTCTGTGCTGTATTGTACCGCTGAAGGTGATATAGCTGGGTAGAGCCTTCTTGGCACGTCTGCCTTCTCCAGAAAACACTTGAATCCTCAAGAGGACTGCCATCTCTTCCTCCCTCGTGCCCCATAACGCTGTAATAATCACACCTGTAGGTTAACTAAACTGAGGACTATTTCCTGGGTGTGGCCCGTATTGAATCGCACACCACTGTAGGTCAAAGACAAAGTGACGGCAGGCCGGCGGTGTGCTCTGGGAGACCAGTGGCTCACGGGAGACGGAATCAGCCCCAGCGGGTTATAGAGGCTGACACTGACAAGGGGCTGACCTGAGTGAAGAAAGGTGTGCCCCTGAAAGAATAAAACACAGCTTTATTGAGGCGCTCTCCCGGGACAGCTCGGACCGTCACCCTGGGAGGAAAGGGGACCCGGCCTGGGACGCTGGCAGCGTGAGCACAGGCCGAGGATGAAGGAAACGGGGCTCATCTGCTCCAGCCTGGACTGGGCTGGTGGGGGTCCTGCTGTCGTCTGTGGGCTTGGGGGGTTGGGGGTGCTGGGGTCCTGTAACATTGCCACTAGAACCAGTGCCTTGAAATGAAAAGGTTCACCTGAACCTCCGAGACAAGAAGCCGGTGCACAATCTGGATGAAGGAGAACTGTCACACGTTTGAGAGCAGAAGATTGTTTCAAATGAAGTTTGTGTATTTTATCAATGCGCTGTCTTCAGCACTCTGTGTAACAGATAAAGACTTTGTATTTGGGAAGGGTGGGGAGATCGGGGGGGAGTTCATGAAGTACTTATTTAATACTAATTTAAATTTTTGGTTCCCCTCGAATAGCAAGGTAACCTGTAACTAACGTTCAGTAGACAATTGCAGTGCTAATAATTCCCTCGCTGAAAAGAGGCATGTTGGAGCTTTTGTTTTTGTGTTTACGCTCTACCGAAACTCAAGGTTTTGTAAATGAGATGTACAGAAATGTGAATAGGAAAAGAGCTGATGAATGAATAGAATAAAATCTTGAGGCTTCATTGTTTCAGGAACAGAAAGGCCTCTTTCTTCCCCTCCGCAAGCTCGCCAGGCGTTGCCTAGCAACAGTTCCTGCCAGGCCTGGTGCTGACCGCGGGTCGCCAGGGGAACCCAGGCTGGGGCAGGTCAGCTCCTTCCCCTCCCGTGGCCAGGCCCAGCAGAACCGGACCTGCTGCGAGACTGCGCCTGGCTGCCGTTCTGTTAGGGCTGCCAGGGCTCTTTCTTTACTTCAGCGTGCTTTTCCATGAAGCTCAGAGCGTTTTTTTAGAATCAAGTTTCATTTCAATTTGCCAGCAGCCATATCACCCTGCAGCTCAAAACTGTCAACCCCACTGCAGCTCAGCAGCGTGAGCCTGGCCAGAACCTGGATGGGAGACCTCCTGGGAAAAACTAAGGTTGCTGCTGAAAGAGGTGTTAGTGGGGCCAGCAGGGGGCGCTCACCCTGCAGTCTGTGTGGGTCCTAATGCCCCGGTATAGTGACGGGAACACTTTACTAAAAAAAAGGTGCCGTCCTTCGCATGAGATGTAAAACTGTGGTCCTGACTCTCTGTGGTCATTAAAAATCTCAACCCATTTCATGAAAAGAGTAGTAGTCTTGCCCCGGTGTCCTGGCCAAATTTCCCCCTGGCATTTTTAAATTAAGCGCCTCCTAATAATCCTCATCTATGAACTGGCTTCATCACTCTGTTCTCTGTGTAAAGTGCTTTCTTGAGTCCAGCTCTGAAACAGCGTTCACATACCTGTAGAGAAAAGCCAAGTCATACAGTGGATTCCGAACACACGCTTTTTAAAAGTTTTTTTATTAGTTATATTATCAAAAGTGAAAAGGTCTGGTTTCCAGAGAAAACAAAAATCCTTACTTGGCAATTATCCAGTAACTGCTACCCTGGGATTGATGACATCATCGCCCATTTGCTACTGCCATCACAATGTACATTGATGACATCACTTGTCAATTACACAAAGTCTATGTACATCATAAGGTCACTTGATACAATGAGGAATAAGAAATGAATACTCCACAGGAGCTGCAGACGGTCTAAAGCGCTTTAGCCCGAGTCATGGAAAAGGAGAGTTTTATTAAGTTTTATTATTGCTATTAGCATTGATACTCATAAAACTAATAAATGGGATCAAGACTTGAAGGAAACCCAGGACATGGAAACTTCAACATTAACTAGGCCAAAGAAAATCTGCAGCCAGTTGATGCTGTCAGGTGCTGAGAAAACTATTGCCTGGTTTTAACGAACGTGTGAAGCTAACGAGGCACCCATCCCTTCCCTGCGGTTCCTCAAAGCAAGGGGCAACAGCAGCTCTGGGCAACGTGAGGAATGGACAAGTCCTCATGGGTCACACACACCCCCACCCCACGACACAGCTCTACTGATAAGATCACTTTATTGGCCATACACAATTTCTTGTATTAGGAATTTGTCTTTTCACATAGCTTGCTCTCCAAGAGACACAGACAGGGAGAGAAACTTGGGTCAGAGCACAGGGTCAGTCATTTATACAGCATCCCTGGAGCAGCTGGGGTTAAGGGTCTTGCTCAGGGGCCCAACAGAGAAGGATTCCTCTGCCAGCCGCGGGATACGAACCGACAACCTTCCAGCCACAGGCGCAGATCCTTAGCCACAGAACCACCACACAACCCGTTTCTTCAACTTCAATTGGTAAATTCCAGTCGATACCACTATGTACCATTGGGTGGCAGTAGTTCCCTACTTCCCATTTAAAGACGCTTCTATTCGAGACATATTGGAGCACTACTGCTCTGGTGGAATTCTGTCACTTTTGGGTTGTGCTGATTTTAATTTATTTAATGTTTATGTGTAGTGCAACTTGAAATCTGCACCTTTTAAGCATCTAAACTGGTAACCATCATTGATTAAGTGAATTAATAGTCGTAACTGGTCAGGCTAGGATGGTTTGGGGCCTTATCCCAACCTAATCTTATTTTAACACTATATAATGTGGGATGTGACTAATGGACAGCTGAGATTAGCACCATAGTTCCTGCTATGGTGTGCAAAGTGATAACCAGATCACCAGGTGTCTCTCTCTCTCTCTCTCCTTCAAGCCAGCCCAATCCCCAGCTGTGTGGAAGCACAGGGACACTGCTACTGTCCCTGTCCTGACTCTCTGCGGTTTGGGCATTGAAGATGCTACATACTTTTTAAGGAGGAAAAGGGCACTTAGCCCTAATGACCCATCAGATGATATACGTGCGATCAGAAATCGGTTCCAGATGTGTTCGTGACATAACCCCTTCTTGTTCCTGCGGCGATACGTTTTGTTAATGACACTACAATCCCAGATTGACAAGATGTGCACGAGCATGTCGAGGGGAATGAAGAGGGCGGTTCTCTTGGCACACTGCGCTGGCGTCTGATTTGTTCACGGCTGTTCTGGCCATCCCTGTGGCTGCGGCCGAGTAGACAAAGTTCTGCACCATGCACACTGTGTAGACGATGGGGGTGGGGTGGGGGGGTTACCGGTCTACTTGTGACACTGCATCCAGCGCTCCCTCTTGCTCTGTGGGTACCCCCGCTCGGCCCGGAGCTGCTCGTTCACGCGCCAGTACCGGTCCCCCTTGAAGAAGTAGATCTTGCCGTTGGTCCAGGTGAAGGCGGAGCCAGGGTGCGAGGGCACCCCGGTGAAGAGCTGGGAGATGGGTTTGGGGTACATGCTGAGGTCGTTGTACACCAGCTCGTCCCACTGCCAGTAGCCGTCGCCCTGGAGGAAGAGGACGGGGGAGGGGTTCGAGTTATCACTGACACGTCCATACTGAAATCGGGAGTGCTGCGCGCCTCTCCCCCAGCAGGAGGAACTGGACCTCTTCGATCGACTACTTAAATACCTAAAAGGTACCAAGAACCTCGAGCTAAAGGACTTGCAATGTCGGCACTGTAATGAGGGCCCATGCCCACAAGAAGGGTTCATCGGCAGGCGGGTGTCTGTGGCGCTGGAAACGGGAGGCGTGTTTATATAGGGTTGTGGGGGCTGGATGAAACTACGCAGCCAAATGCGGAAGCAGCTGTTCCCAGAACCTCATAGGAAATAACCAGATGAGATTGCTTGCCTGGGTTTGTGTTTAAGTTTAGAAACGTGATTTAACTTTTCAGAGTATGGCACACTCAGACCAGGTGAAGTTTTGGATGGTACTGGGAGCCAAGCAATTCGGCACTAACTGGGCCACGTGGGCTGAATGCCGCCCTCTCCTTTTTAATCTCATGGTCGAATTTGCTTTTGGATATTTTTCAATTCTATGGCTCTATTGAACTGCCCCACAGAGCACTGCCGGTGTCCCAGGCAGATCTGTAAACCAGGTTGACTCTCACCTTGAAGAAGAAGATCTTCTGGTTGACGTCCCAGTAGAGGGCAGCGTCAATGTTGGGGGGAATGCGAGTGAGAGGTTTTGGGTAGCCGTAGTCCAGGCGGAAGCCGGTGTATCTCCAGACCTTGTCCCCTGAAAGAAATGACGCAGGAGCAGAAATGGTGATACAGAGATATAAGGATATAGACACCACCAAGACATGAGAACCCTATAACTGGGAGGTCACCACTGGCTCTTGGGACCAGTTATTGTCTTAATCTCCTAAAAGCGCAACCTGCCGCTGCTGAGTGTTATTACCCATAATACCTGCGGGCCTGGGGTTCCCAAGACAGACACACGTCCGTAACTCCAGCTCAGCAGATACGTACCTTTTAAGAAGTACGTCTTGTTGGTCCGCTGAGAGTGCACGGCAGCATCGAGGTTCCCTGGGAGGCTCTTCCACAGCAGGCTGATCTTCATGGGCCTGTTGTGTCCCAGGTCAGATACCGTCCACATGTACTGTCCGCTGAACGCATACGTCTTCCTGTAGGGCCCTGGAGCAGTAGGAGAGCCATTGATCAGGAATCTAGTGCTGCTGAGATCACACCAGAGTACAGGGTTCGCAGACTGGGCTCCTGCTGAGATCACACTGGAGGAAAGGGATCACGGGCAGAGGCTCTGCTGAGATACACCAGAGCACAGGGATCACAGACGGGGCCTCTGCTGAGATCAACCTGGAGCACAAGGATCACGGGCAGGGCACTGTTGTAGGGGGACTGAGTGATGTCAAACCTCAAAAATAAAGCTACAGCTCTGGCATGAAAGCAGCACAAACAGAGCACGAATGAATGCAGTGGGTTTCATTGTTTGTGCTGTTTGTAGGGGGGCCAACTCCACGGAGCTCAATCAGGCCGGTAACTGAACATCTGCTGAAAGGCCAGAATGGGCTCAAACAGGAATGTTTGAGAGTTGCTCAGCCTTTTCCGCGCACCATGGGGGGGTATGATGAAAGTAATACCACAGCGGAAACACAGGTGCTGGGCAGTGCCATTCTCAATCTCAAACCACATACCCAGCATGATGGCATCCAGATCAGCAGTGCAGGGGTCTGGCACGTCGCCCTGCTCATCCGGGACGACAGCGGGGGGCACCGAGGGGGCTGGCGCCTGAGGCTCGCTGGGCACGCTGGGCACGCTGGGCACACGCTTCCCTGGGACAGGGAGGGCAGTGAATTAGACGCACAGAGCCACCATGCTTTACAAACGCGCATGGGCCAAAACTTTGGGCAACACTTCTGAAGCCTCGGCGGTCAGGCATCTGGGATCCATTTGTGTGAATTGAGTCATTTACCGAGGAATTTTCCTTTATCGTGAATAAAAGGTAACAGATTTGCCCAGAGGCTTTAGTTCTGACACCCTTCACCCCTCTACAGGGGCTTTTATCCTGCACTTTAGTGTAGAAGAGTTTAGACAAGCGGGAAACAGCGCAGAAGCAGAAAAGCCAGGGAGCTGGTGCTACAGGGCCGGGGGTGGCGGTGAAAAAGGATGAGAGGGAGCACCCACAGATGGGCAGAGGCAGGGCGGTGCGTGGAGATGGGCAGAGGCAGGGAGACGCGCTGTCGAGAAGGAGCACACAGAGACAGGCAGAGGCGGGGTGGCACACTCTCAAGAGGGAGCACACAGAGAGGGGCAGAGGCAGGGCGGCGTACTCTCCAGAGGGTGCACCCACAGACAGGCAGAGGCAGGGCGGTGCGTGGAGATGGGCAGAGGCAGAGAGGCGCGCTGTCGAGAAGGAGCACCCACAGGCGGGCAGAGGCAGAGAGGCGCGCTGTCGAGAAGGAGCACACAGAGACGGGCAGAGGCAGGGCGGCAAGTACTCACCGTACAGAGCCTGGATGGCACGGACATCGTCAGGGTGCAGCCAGAAGTTGGATTTGTACCCATTGTAGACGGGGCCCATGAGAGCGCTGGGGTACTGCGAGTGACCCAGGCCCAGGGCGTGCCCAATCTCGTGGGCCGCGATGATGCGCAGGTTGGCGCCACGGGATGTCCCCTCGGTCCAGTACTCATCTTCATCGAAGTGGACGATGCCGGACTCTGGGACATCCGCGTGGGCGAGCACCCGTCCTGCAGAGACAGTATCATTACAGTGACACAGGCTCTTATGTGCCACTGCTGATGGGCCGGTTTACACTCAGCCAGCACTTCTAGTCGAGCTGACTTTGCATTATGTTGTGGCAACCTTACATTCACCCCCTGGTAAAGGGGTGTCAGTTTATTAATCTGCTGGGGCACATGTGAGGAAACCTCTGGGGGTCACTGTATTTTACAGGATAATCCAAAAATACCAAACCAAAAATTAATGATCACAACCAGAGTTTGTACAATCAACACTTTTGCTATTTTGGAGGGTTCTGTATTGAGAAAGAGAGAGGAGCTTGTTTGCCGAATGTACATGTAGACTGGGATTCGTATTCGTATTCGTATGTAATGCTGTTTTCTCAGGATGTACACACAATTTAACAAAATTAAGGATGTCCATGATTCGGCAACCAGAATCCTGACCAGGTCTAGTGCAAGTGATCACAGTACTCCTATCCTGGATTCTTTGCAGTGGCTTCCTGTCAGGTTTTGTGTCAACTTCAAAAAGCTCATGCACACCTGTAAGGCTCTCTGCATGGCTTGGCACCTCCATACCTGTCTGAGCTACTATCGTCCTACTCCCCACCTCACAACCTTCTCTCTTCTAATTCTGGTCCCCTGTCTGTTCCTCAAACCCATCTACACTCCATGGATGACAGGGCCTTCTACTGCTGCACCCCAAAGCTCTGGAAATCTATCCCCAAGGATATCAGAGAGTCACCTTCCCCCAGCTCTTTCAAATCCAGACTCAGAACCTTCTTCTTTAGAAGGGCCTGTCCTTAACTGGTTCTGTTATTTACACTTTTGCTACTATTTTATTCCGTACCCCCCATCTACTATCGCCTTTCATTGTGTATTTTCATTGTGTATATCTTGTGTATTTTTTGCCTTTTTTTGTTGTCGTTCTGTAAAGCGCTTTGGGAAGCCACCTTTAAGGTGCCATACAAAAATAAAGTCTATTAGTAGTAGTACAATAGAAAACACCACACAATGTGCACATTACAAAGCAGTAAATAATTAATAATTACAGTCACAGCCGCCCATCATGCACAACAACATACAACGGGTAGTACAGAGCAATAAACACACAGATGTGACACAGCTACACTGCGAACACGTGGCCTGCAGTTCTCAGCTTTTCCTCAGTTCTGCTGGGAATCTCCGGGACTCACCTGGCCCGTCGAAGGCCACGGAGCAGGCGTGGCTCCTCCTGTGGAAGGAGATCTTGATGTCGGCCCGCCCCCCCGTCACCTCCTGGAAGGTCAAGGGCGCCACCTCGCTCCAGTAGTGGAAGGCCGATTGGATGGCGGCTCTGGTCTCGGCCAGTCCCAGGTCAGGGGTGTGGTTGTGGATGCGGTAGGTCAGGTTCTTCTTGCGCCAGCGCCCTGCCGCCCAGAACGGACACTGTGACACCCGCCTGCTGCAGGTGAGCGCACAGTCATGGGGTCATGGTACCAATCACCATCACACCTAACCCAGCTGGACATACAGACCCTCTCCTACAGTCCTAGAAAAACACTGGGTCTACATTATCATCATAACAGATATTAATATATACATATACACGATAATCATTTTAACTACAGCAACTTCAGTTTGTACCTATTCACAGGGCTTTGAACTGGATCAATCTGATGGAAGCACCTAATGAAATGGGACAGCTGTGCCCCCACTCTAGAATTGAACCTACAACCCTCTTATTACAGGTCTAGAGACTTGACCACTTCGCCACACTGCAGCCAGCAGTAAGCTTGTGAGTACTGTGGTGGTGTATAAGTGTTTCAGGTCTTAATACAGGCAGAGGTTTAAAAGTCTAATTTATTCTAATTTATGGAAAGCCCGAAATGAAGATGGCTGGTCTATCCTTGCTGCCACTCGCTGTACACCTAACCCTCAGTTCCCAAACTTAATTTGTTCCTTGAAAGGTACACAATTGTAAAACGAAAAACAAATTCCCATTATTTTACATGTAAAACCTTCCATTTCATTCCCGAGTCCTAACATATCACCCACTGGTATTAGAGCACTGAATCGTGGAAGCAGGCACACTATTGCTTAGTGATGACAATCACTCTGTTCCCTCTAATGCAGTAGTTTAGTTGTGGGTATTTCGATACTGAAGTGGGGTTCTGTCAGTGTGGCGGGCGAGTATCCCTGGCCCAGCATGTCCTGTATTGGGTCAGAACCGCCCCCCCCCCCATGCTCATGCAGGTCAGCCCGACATGGGCCCGGCGCTCACCCAGCAGGCGGTATTTAAAGGTCTTCTGGTTGAAGGGGTCCTCGATCCCGCAGCGCGGCCGCCTCATCATGGCCAGAGTGGCCTTGTCTATCGTCCCGGTCACAGGCAGCTGAGTCACCCTCTGAAAGACCCTGCAGGGGCAGGAGGGGCACAGGAAAGTCAGACAGGGGCCTGCTGGCGGTGGAGAGACGTTATCTCTTCTCTCTCTAGCCCTCCGGCTCCGGTCTTCACAATCCTGCACTGGCAGGCTGCTGTTACTCAGGAGTCACCCTTATTTCGGACAGTTCTTGTGCTTGGGTCCTTCTGCTCATTGTTTGACAGGCATGAATCCATCTAATAATAATAATAATAATTATTATTATTATTATTATTACTACCATTATTACACACCTGAAGAAGGCTCTAAGGCTGAAACGTTGTGTTTTCTTTCTTCTCTTTTCAGCAGGGAATAAACCTTTACTTGTTCCTTTGCAGCCTACGCATGCTGACGCAGCTCCCCACCTGAACTACTACTTATCATTATTATTATTATAATAAACTGCCTTTGACTTCTGAACTGATTAACAGAGAGTCCAGGTAATAACAGCTCCTGTGAGGCCAGTAATCAGCTCTGAGATAATCATGCACAAAGCCTCAAATACTTTACAAAGCCCATTGAGGCAAATATTAATTTAAAGAACTGGACACACTAACTCTTCTTCTATCTGTCACCCACCCAAGCTGGTGGTCCTTAGCACCGAATCTGCCCTGTGTGGGGAGAGCCCACACTCCCCTGCCCGTGCAACAGCGCCGCCCTGCAGGACAGTGAGCACCGACGGGTGGTGCGGCACGTCTCTCACGGACATTACTGCCAGCTCGCCGGCACCCAGAGGGCACCAGGGGTCCCTGAATGACCCCCTGCCAGCCAACCCAGGCAGCGTTCAGCAAAGTGTGCGTCACTGTGGGGATTCCCTGATGGACAGGTCACTGGCGTTAGCACAGGGTCCAGGTGTGGAGTGGGTGGGGGCTCCCTAGTGGGCAGGCCTCACTCTCTGGGTGCGCTCTGCAGGCAGAGCTCTGATGCCCTGGAGCTCACAGCTTCGTTACCTGAGGGCCTCCTCTATCTCCTCCGGCTGAAAGCCCGAGGCCTGCGGGTCCAGAGGGGTGCTGAGGTAGCCGTACTGCTTCAGGTAGTCCTGCGGATTAACAGACAGACAGACAGACAGACAGAAAGAACGTGGCTTTAAAAGTAGCAGTAAATAACAGGCGTTCTTATTTTTTCTGATATAAACCTACAGGGGCCCCACCCCTCGATCCAGAAAGTGGCATATTCCTTGCAAGGCCCATGGGAGCCCACAGCTTGTCACAGAGGCAAAGGGAGCAAGAGAGGCCTGCAGCTCGGACAGGACGTCAGTCCATCACAGGGCTCACACACAGGCACACAGGCACAGACTGGAATCACTGGAAATTACAGACAGCAATAGGTGGACGCCGGGGATCAGAGAGAGTGGTAATTAAACCCAATTCGATGGATTTCAGGAGCATTAGAGCATAAGAGCTCAAACAAACGAGAGGAGGCCATTGGGCCCATCTTTGCTCATTTGGTTCGTTGAGCTAAATTAAGATTTCATCCAGCTGCGTCTTGAAGGAGCCCAGCACTTCTTCCCACTGCATCTTGGGCTGTGACCACTCTGCTGGGAAGCCTTTCCCAGACACCCACAACCCTTTGTGTAAAGACGTGTTTCCTATTCTAGCTCCTCAATAAATTACCTCCTAATTACCACTTGTGATGCTTCTAAATACCACTTGTCCTTCTCCTTCTATTGCCTCAGAATCTGAAGACCCTGGGGTGACCTTGTTTATTAAACCAAGGAGGTTTTCATACACTGGGATCAGATTTAGTCTATGTCTCCTGGACTGAAGGTGTTTAGGCCCCTACGTGTTGCGTGAGCTTGACATTCCCTGACTCTGTAAGGAGATGGAATTTCCTAAAACAGATCAGCTGCGCAGCAGCTGTGGGAGAGCCGGAGGAGAGGTCTATCCGCTATCGGAATTGTGAGCGTGAGTGTGTCCATTTTTCTGGCACACAAGTGCTGTGCATGTCAAGGCAAAAACAAAACTGGGCTTGTGCAGACAGGACTGTTATTAACGGCGGCAGGGAGGCCCCCTGGGAGCAGGTAGGAGACTTCTGGGTCAGCCCTGAGACACAAACAGCACGACACAACCACTTGTAAGCGAGCGCGGTTTCGAAAGACAGTTTCGGGAGGGAGGGCGGATCCCAATCTCTCCCACTTCTGCCCGCCTACGTGAGTAAGCCTCGCACCCAGGTCTTCCTCTCTCACACACCCCTCCCCCAACATTTACACCCTTGCAGCAGACCCCCCTGGCTCAATCCTCACAATACTGAGGAGGGAATAATCTCTACACAATTCATCCAGGACCACTAGACTCAAGAAGCTTCTATCCCACTACGTTGCTCATCCTCAACAGCTACTGCCGTGCCTCAGACTCAGAACACATCTGCACTAGGCACTTTCGCATGGGCATGGTCTACCATGTCTATTTTCTACTACATATCTATTGTTCCTGTTGTTATTATTTATTATGTTTGGAATGTACTGACCGCACTGTGTGATGTTGTCTGCTGTACTGTGTTTGTGTTTGAGATTTTCCAATGTACAGTACGCATACATTTGGCGGTAAACTCCTCTACTCTACCCATCGCTCTCTCTCGCCCCTTCATTAAGACCTAACCCATTCCCCAGATAATACTTTGCCAGCAGCAGCCAGCTCAGACCACAGCAGTGCAGTTTGTGTCTGGGTGCTGCGGTACATTTTTGGGGTGCACAGATCCATTCTACTGTACAGACATGGTGACTATTTGTGGCACAAATTGCAGAAATCGTAGGTTAGTGTCTTGGTCTGCTGCCTGGATATACTGCCTTGAGCTGGATCAGATAGCATATAGTACCGTTTAAGGTCATGAAAAGACTTTCTTACAAAAGAAACACTGATGTTTTGGTGGCCGGGCACTTCTTAGTCTTATCCTGTAATGACACCACCTTTGTAATTCTTTGCAGAACAGCTATCAAAGTGACCAGCCTAGAGTACAAGCACTGTATGTGGGGGTTTGGGATACTAAAGGCAAGCCAAATGTTTGGTCGCATAATCTAGGCAGACGACAAGCCCAGAACAGAGCCCTCCGTAACAGGCTCGGTACTACTCTGCTCCGTGATGGGGCACAAACCTCGGTACTCCCATTAAAAGGCCTTTGGAGACACAGAAATGTAACCTGTATTTTTTTCTCATTAACAACAACAACAAAACAATTCTTCTTCTTTATATTACTGCAAAAATGTACTTCAACGGAAAACAAAGGTTTAAAAACGCCTTTAAAGATACAGCGTTAATAGTCAACCATACTTGGGGTACAGGAGATGGTGGCTTTCCCCCGTTGTTTTGGGGGGTCCCACAGAGAGACAGTTACCCTCTCCTCTACCGTTGAAAGCCGCAGACAATGCGGTCCGGTCGGTGCTCTTACCGTGGCCTCGGTGTACTCGTTTCTCCGGTCCATGACCGAGGACAGCGCCGACAGGGCGACGGTGGACAGCAGGAGCAGCGGGCGCAGGGAGGGCATTCTCGGGGTGTCCTCGGTGCGAGCAGGGGACTGTCGAGCAGGCTGTGTCCTCCTCCTCCAGCTGGCTTTGGCAGGGTCAGCCGAGAGCGGTCAGTACCGGCGCTTTCTGCACTCTCTGCGCAGGACGACCGCCGTTTCCAACCGAACAAGCAAAACCACGCTTTTCTGTGCACAAGAACAAGAAAAGAAAAACTACATACGTGCCGAGCGTTTTTCCTGGGGGCGTTTTGTTTATGTCGTGAGCCCGCTCCACACGTCCCTCTTCCCCTCGTCTCCGGGGTGCCCTGGTCCTGAAGCCGGGCTGTCTCCGGGAGTTTATACCGGCCCGGCGCTGTGACTCACAGCGCCAGCTCCAGCCCGCGGTGATCCACCCCAAAGGAATGCGGTCTGGAGCCGGTTCAAAAGGGAGGCTCTATAAACTAAACCCATCCTTCACCACAGTTCAGTCATTGCCTGCTTCCCCCACGGAGCCCTGCCTCGGTAGCAGTAAAACCGTGCCTGTCAGGATTATCTCAATACCCAGAATTTAAGGCGGGAAACAGATTCTTTTAGACCATCCGGTGGTCGCGTTACTCGATTTTTTGTCACTTCGGGTGAGTAACCTCTGAAAGTGAGTAAACTCTTCCCCGCTTTGGTTTATCGTACCCGATTTACGTCAGTAAAAGTTAATCGACCCCCCAGAAATGTCCCATTTGTTGAGACGCGCTTTATTTTACCAAAAAAAAAAAAAGTCGCAATAAAATGTCATTGCAACTAGTCTGCGGTTTGGAGAGTTGCTGACGTTCGGAGACCTTGAAAATCAATTAGAATTGTTTTGTATCCGCTTGAGGTTGTATAAAATGTACACAAGACTTGATTTAATCGGTTAAGGATGGTGTAAATGCCCCACACACGAATAGCCCAATAGTGTCCAAGCACCGTCACTCCTGGCCAGCGGACAAGGAAACGCGCGTCCTGCTGCTTAAGAACAGCAGGTATGATATGACACTGGGCCTGGTTCTCTGTCCATTTCCCCCACAATTAATGTCAGCTTTCTCTTTTTCTGGGGGCTGTGCGCTGTGGTAGAAAGCCAGGTTGCTGCTGCAGCTGGTGGGGGTGCACCAGTAGGTGGTGCTCTTCCTTTAGACCAATGCTCCAGCATGGTGAATGGGGACAGCGTGCAGTAGGAGTGCCATCCTTCAGATGGGATATTGCACTGAGGTCCTGACTGCTTGGGCATTACACATCCCAGGGCGCTGTTTGTAAGAGAAAGGCCGCTTACCCTGGTGTCCTGGCTCAGTGCCACTCTGGCCTTGCCCAGTCCGGCCTCCCTGCACTTCCCCCACAACTCCCCTGGTGCAGCAGTTTCGCCCTCCTGCCCCTGACCCGCTGTGCAGTGTCGCCCAGGAGGGGGTGGATGAACTGGGCCCGTCCCGCGTCTATGTGAACCACTTTGGGGTCAGACTCTCTGCACTAATGCCAAGACGTAATTTATAAAACATGCAGGGAATGATAAGATGTGAAATTAATGTTCAAGGACTAAATCATAAGCCTCAGCTATAAAACAAACAGAGTAAACTGTGACCTCATGCTTTCTAAGTTTTATTCGCGCTGGAGAAGGGTCTTTTTTTTACCCGTCCCAGGGGCCCACTGTGCCGCAGAGCTCGGGAGGGCAGTACGGACGTGGTGGGTGTGTGTCCGGCCTCGGCTCCGACAACCAGACCACAGCGAGGTCCAGCCAGCGGGGCCACACCCAGAGCCCGCGGGGCCCGGACTCGCTCTGCCCATCCCCCCCGGGGAACCAGAGAGGAGGCTTCAAAACAATCGAACTGCA